AGAGAAAATAAAGGTACATTTATCGATACACTTAAACAGCAGTGGCTGGTTTCCTATTGATTCAGTCATTTGCGCTGGGATTCGTTAGCGTCATCAGGCTTTAACTCGCTTACTAGGTCTTCCCAGCGTATAATACTGCAAGATGCAGGAATGTATGAAAGGATGAAGGGAAGTGTAGAAAACTAAACTGAGTTAGAAGATGTATGAGAAGGTAAGTCATGCTTCTGCTTTTAAGTCTCCTACTGAAGAAGGATAACTTTTAAAATCTATTTTTTCCCCCAGGAAGAGATCCCTATGAAGCAATTTGTTATGTACAATACCCTTTTTTAGTATCAGAATTATATGAATGAAAGAAATCTTTGTTTATAATATTGATGGGGAACAGCTCTATTGGCTCCTATTGACTGACAGGATCCCCAACCTGTATAAATTCATTAACATGTATTCAGTGGTAGCTTAAATGCATTGTTTTTATAATATTTTGAAAGGGAAGTATTGTATTTGCCATTTATAAGTGTTGTACATACATAGGTTGAACTAAGGGCAATTTTACTTAATAATATAATTAGAAAATCAAGCTGGCCAGTATTATGTATTTTGAAAGATTTACAAGTGCCCTTTGAAATATGCACTAAATGTGTATCCCTATTTTTTTAGTAAAACAAACTGAAATAAACAAAAATAGACTAAAATAGCAGAATGATAATTATAAACATGTGCATATGCATCGGCACACAGGCACACAAATTAAAAACAGGACTGTAATTACATACTTCATTATTTATATATATTCTGGGCATTTTAGTACACTAAGATAACTGGACATATAATCTATATAGTTAATAATAGACCAAATTCATCCCAGGTGTAACTTCATTGAAATCAATGGACTTGGAACTGCCCTGGGGAGGAATTTAGCCCAATATTTTGAGTGCATCCTGACCCTCACTATCCTAGATTAACATATAAAATACATCACAAAAATGAAATAAAAATAAAAGATGTCCAGCAGGCACAGCGTGTTTACTGAGTGAAGTAGCAATAACCTTGCCTAATATGTATGTGGCAGCGCTTCTCTTTGCAGTGCAGTATCGTTTAGTGTGGGGGAGGGGGTTAATGCTGACAGTAGCTCCGGATTGCCTAGTGTCTCCCAGTCTCACTGGCTGTTTTCTCTCTCTCTCTTTAAAGCATCATGGCCCAGAACTGTCTGTTCAGTGAAATGAAGCTGCCCCAAGTTGACCTGTTCATTACCTATTCATTTGCTGTGATGTAATCTCTGGGAGGAAAATGCAAGCAGTCTAATTATGTTAAACATCAGAAACTCTTCAGATCAACTGGCATTATTATTCTTTAATCCTAGAAGCTATGTAGAATTTGTGTAAAATCTCACTGCAATGTGTTCACCAACATTTTATGAAAAAAATATTTTTAGCTTTGTTTTAAAAAAACCCAAAAACCCTTTCAACTAGGACACATTTTATATGATTATGAAGTGCTGGGTACATTATTTATTTTTTGCTCTACCCACTAATGCTGAAATCTCACCAAAAGCTAATTTGCAGAGATATTACATAATAATATCTTCATGATCATAATGGGGTAGAAAACTGATTGTGGTCCTTGTGTTCTGGGGTAGAAGCCAAGAGCAGAGACACTGGTGTGTTAATGCAGAAAAGCACCCCTCTTCCTAAAATGTCTAAATCACATAATATTAGTGTAACATAATTTGGAATATATTATGACAGTTGCAATTACTGAAAAGTGCATGATGCCATTATTTCCAACTGGAAATTAGATGATTATACTAATTAAGTGATAGCAGGTGGCACAGGATGACTGTTACAATCCTCTCTGATCTGTGGAGATGCATGGTTCAGTGTCTGAAACACCCAGGAGTAGTAACAATTGGCTTAAGCACTATTCAGTCCCAAGGTGCAGAATAGGGATTCACTTTGATTTAACACTTCCTTATCACATCAAAGAGGTGAAAAAGGCATCTTTATGGATTGGCCTGGAAAAAAATAATTCCAGTGGTTCAGCTTCTACCTGAGCAGCTAAAGTATCTGAGTATATGAGAACTACAATATGAAACCACTACAGATATTATCATGTAAAGCTAGAATTCAAATGATAAATCTTTTTATCACAATGGTTTAAACAATTCAGCTCTATTGATTTCAAGTTGCAGAATTCTGGATTAATTAATATTGCATTAATAAACAGGCCTAGGTTAGCAAACTGAATATCTTTCTTGTACAATAAATGCTTTATGCTATAATACAAGTATTGTATATTTTTAAGACTTTATGAAGTCATTAAATAAATTAGCGTTTTAGGGGTTGAGGAGTATTCATCCCCTACGTTTAGGGGAAGGCTTGAAGACCATTCACAATTGCATTGCACTGGATAAAGCAGCCTATAGATCTACATGTCATCAAGAGACCTTGTTCTTCTTGCTCCCTACAGATCTATGCTAAATTTGAATTAAAGCCATGAAAACGATCTTCACAATTCTGTTACTTCTTTGGTGTTATTATCATTTTGATAATATTAAATGTGCTCAGAAACTAGCTCTCTTCTTTCTGTATTTTTCATCCTATATGTTTCTGGAGTGGGACCTCAATTTACTAGTGATAGGGAAGCAGATCTGCAGAAGAAGAACCATGCTGAGTGAGCCATGGGAATGCAACAAGCATATGCCTATGAGGCAAACCAAGCAATTCTTACAAATAATAGAAAATAAATGTTATCTAATTTCTGAAATTCTCTTATCCTGCTTTATCTGTCTCTGTAGAATTTATTTCAACACTGTTACTGTGTTTCTTACAATAGATCAAAGACATGCCTGATAAGACTTGATTCTAGACATATTTGCAACATTCTATGATAGTTACTGTGTAGCTGTTTTATTTAAACCTTTATTTTTCCCCTGCTAAAGCCTTACTTACACCATAATTTCAGAGATTTTCACATTACTTTATCAAAACTATGGATGGTAGACACAAGTAATTGCAAAAGTTGTTGCTATTGAATATATGAGTGTTCTTCTGAGATACTACAGTTACTTGACTCTGGAATACCCTGCTGAGTGATGATGTGTGCAAACTAAGTACACTGTAATTCTCTTATGCCACAAAATTTCACATAGTTGCATGCATTATGATGCTAGAAAATGCCAGGGAACAAATGCCTGTATCAAGGACAGACAAGAAATGCTCTCCAACTGACAAGCCCAAATGTACTTCCTAATTCTACAGAGAAAAGCATCAAAGTTTATGAAAATCAGTCATCTCTCGTGTTTTTTATGCTTTAATAGAACTAAATGGAATGGAACTAAACTTTCAATCTCAAAATGCCTTATCTCTTCAGTGAATACTAAACTGTTCAGTTTTTAAAATGCTTCCATACTCATGGGGGGGGGGGTTTCTGTTAGAATGCTTGCATCTTTTCCAGAAGAGAATTTAACTGAATGTCCAGCAATAAAAATAACAATTACCTTCCTCTGTCTAAGTAGAATAAGAAAAATTTAGTCCTATAGCCAAAATCATTCATTTAGCCATGCAAATTGGAATAATGGAACATTGCAACTCAAAGGCAGCTATTGGAGATATTGAAACGTGTTGTTCAACCACAGAAAACAAGACAGTACTACAGGCTCAAGGCCAACTTTCTTACCCTTGCATACCACTGATTAGTTCAGCCTTAGCCGAACAGAAATCCTTAATTTTCTCTTTTTAATATTGAAGAGGTAAACCCTCTTTCACCTGCATGTGGAGTCTGCTTTTTCATCAAAGCTCAGGAGATTCCAGCAACAAAATCAATGTATGCATGTTCAGAGCAGTTTTCAGGGTTTTGTAAGACAAATCTTTCAAATGGGAGCTAGTTTAATGCTATTGAGCTGAGTTTCGATCTGACAGACTGAGTGAACAACACAGAAACAGTTCACTTACCACTGCTCACACTACAGGAGGTTGGAATCAGGTACAGCTTTGTACAAATACAGCTGCGCAATTTCTCAGTAAACTCTCACCCTACCTAATCCAACATTAAATTCAGCAGTAGACTGTTTAAACAAACAAATAAAGATACAAAACCTTCTCTAAACCATAATTATATTATTTCTTTTCTATACAAGGAAGAAAAATCAGGTGTATTGTAGAGTGTTGTATTAATGTAGTGGGCCTGTGTTACTTTCATTTATACTTGTGAGAACTGAGAGCGACTCCACTAATACCAATAGACTCACCCTGGTATAAAACTGGTGCCAATTAGAGCAATACCTGTCTACATGCACACAGAGCCTGATACTAAGCATATTTCACAAATACAATTCACAAAGCTCATCTGTATTTCTGTGCTGCTTCAAGCTTCTATCAACTTGTTCTTGGATATTTTGAAACAAATGGTGCCATTTAACAACTTTATCCAACAAAAAAGTTTCAGACATTTTAAGTCAAAATGATGTAAAGTTGGATGAAGCTTTTGTAGCCAAATGATTTGGGACTAGCTCCTACTCTCATTGAAGTAGGCAGCAATACTACCATCAACTTGGTTGGAAGGACTAGAGCCTTTATATTCTTCCTCTGTGAAAATGATACTGGACCTAGCTAATGCTTATAAAGAAGCTTCATACTACTTTAAGTGGTTATGCTTCTGATTGAAGATCTTGATCACTAAGTCTCTCACACTTTCTTTTGAACCTAAAACTCTATGGTATTTCCTTACTAAAACATGTTCATATTCTTTTATAGAGCAAAGTGATGAGCCCTCCAAAATATCTATGGTATAATTATAAATATACAATTTTGGCTATGCATTTGTACAGATATCTATAGAATTGTGGTCTATAGTTGTACAAAATGGACTCAGGATATATATTCAAGGCCTAGATGTAATAACATATTCATCTACTTTTTTTCCTGACAGCATACAATATAAAACAAGCCAGTATAAAAATAGCAAAGCAAGTTTGATTTAAAGTGCAGGTTCATTACATTAGCAAATTCCCAATGCACTAGCAGTTTCGCCTTATAAAAAAGTGTCCTTTTGCCAATTTCAATGAAGAGTCATATTCTAATTACAGCAGAAATGTTTTAATTAACCTCTCCATTAATTATAACTTTCCTGAATTTTTCACTTATTGCAGTTTTGTGAATTAAGGTAACTGTTACTTTACCTATCCAACAATAACAACAAAAATAGGTTAATTAAAAGGTCCATTTTTTTAAATACCTGGAAGAGCGAAGGAAGTTCACAGCTGACGGAGGAATTTGCTTTAATGCTTTAATCCATCCACTGCAGCCTTTCAGCAAAAAAGAGAGGAAACCTACACTTTGGTGCTATGAAGGATCCTATGCTCATATCTCACAACCTAAGTGCATCTTTCTGCTTTTTTAACATAAATGGAGGTATTTCCCCATGCCCATAAATATTTCACAAGTAAATTTGCGCATTTGTTTTTAAAAGGAACTCACAAGTACTGATAGTCATATCATTGCCAGCTTGACATAACTTCATGAATTAGGGGGGAAAACGTAGTATTGTGAATGAAGCTGTACTTTTCTCCCACTCCACCTGTTTCCGATAGATAGATAGATAGATAGATAGATAGATAGATAGATAGATAGATAGATAGATAGATAGATAGATAGATAGGCCTTTTGAGTATAAACAGTGTTCAACAATGACTTAGTTTTCCTCCATTTACCCGATCTTTCCAATAAAGGAAGTGTAACAAGGCTCAGGAAAAAAAAAAAAAGATTGTTCCTCCTTTCCAACAACAGAGAAAGAAAAATTAAGGGCACGGTTGAAGTAAAAATCCAAGGGACAAATGCTGCCATCTTTACTTATGCACACCTACCACTATAGTTAATAGGGTTAGGACCTGAGTGAAGAGTTCCATATTTGACACTATACAAAGAAACCTGTGAATAACTGAGGATCCTACAGTCTAATATAATGGGGCTGGACTGATGGCTGACAATCACGATTGTGGCTCACATAGCAAGAATACCCAAAGCGCACAATAGGAGACATTTTACTCAGCTTTATGTTTTCAGACTTTATGATCAATGTCATGTTTTACTAATTTCCAGACACGTTATGCATTTCATGACAGAGAATGCCCCTGTGAAACTTACTTCTACTGCCAGAATTTCAAAATGTCATCCTGAGCTTTATAGAGACCTTATTCTTTTTAGAAGTAATTAGCTAAGGCATAGTTTGTATGGCAATTAAAAACCACTTGCTTGCAGAAGCTTGTAAGCATTATGTAATTTTTTTTTAACTACAAGTACATATGCGTATTCTTGCCTCCAGCTTAAATACAGTGAATGTTGTAGTTGGTTGCACAGGAATTGTCTCAAGAACATTAAAGCAAGCCAAACACGATTGTATTCCAACTAAAATTGCTCTCTTTATACCATGTATTGAAACTTGATAACTGTTGGTTATAAAATTCCTTTGATTTTCTGTAGGTAATAAAATACTTTGGCAATTACTATTGACAGTTCTGGATAATCTTGAAGGCTGCCTTGCCTGAAGAAGATGAGTGTTACAAATCACTCCACTGAAAGAGGGAAGAACAGCAGCAGGCAGCAGACAGGTTTCAATTTCACAATGCTGATTATCTCATTCGTGATTCTATGCATGCCTAAATCTGAGGATCCCTCAAGCAGCTATATGGACTTCTACTTTTAAAATGCCTATTACGCTTTCATACTTTTTGCTGCTTCCTGAAGAGTGCCATTTCGCCAAGCTTAAATAGCAGAAAATTGCACTGCTTTTCCTCTGCCCATCTCCTCAATCTCTATTAACCTGCACAAGAACAAAGGAGTATGATAGTCCAGCTATAGGTTGTAAAATAGGTTTGAAGTTGTTTTTCATTTAGTGGAATAGATATTTCTGATTCATAAATGTATTCTAACAATAACATTGCTTTAATATATCAGTAAATGACTAAAATACAGTCTTTAAATCTATATAATATGTATCTTAATATATGCACATATACATCACACGTGCAATCAGTGCAAATATATATGCACATATTGCTTACATAAACATCAAGTGATGCTGTATTGCTATTACAATGTGTCACGAGCTAAATAAAAAGGAATACAAACAAAAATGGTGCAAATGGATTCCCCACCCCCTTTAGGTTACAAGAGAACAAGCAGAAGCAGATATAAACAGAAATAAAAACTGTTGAAGCACCTGGTTCTAATGCGTGCAGTAGGCCTTTATTAGATGTCATAAACTGAATGATGCATTACTCTGTGGACGACTTATAGCCTACAAATGTTGAGGTAAAATGGAGGACAAAGAGTTCTTTTAGAACAATAAGGTTAAATGTTCCTTTCAAATCAAACAATATTTATTAAAATGCAAAATTGTAATAGGCGTGGAGAAATTGGAGAATATTTCCTTTAATTTTTTAATGCATTTCTGCATTACCTTTAGGGATAAAGCGTATTTTACTTGAATAGCTCATATTTTATG